AAAGAATGAGCTTTCTGGAAAATCTTTGAAAAACTGTTTAGTTACTACTCCGTGAGTTAAAGGTCAGGTCATTTGTATCCTGAAAGCACACAATGGAGTAATATATTGGTACGGTTTATTCTAGAATTAAAAGAAATATTATTTTTTGGACGTCAGAGACGCCAGCGGTGTAAAAAAGCTCCTTATAAGGTCCATTATGAACTATTCTTTTGAAAAGCAAATATACAGTTTTGTAGCACTTGAAATGCTAACTCGAATGATGTATTGTTCATTATTTCCAAACAACTGTTGATTTGCAAACAAAAAGTAAATCGCTGAAATGTTCATCATGTATCATTAATGACATACCATCAGCGTTACCGCACAGAAACTGAGAAGATGCAGTAGTTTTTGTCACAAAAAGGTGATGCTTTGATGTGATCTTCTAAATCTTATACAAAGATTGGCAAACTTAACAACAATTACTATTTACATGGATCAATTTGTAATTCTCCAGATTGAGTATACATAATGTGTGAATTATGTCTTCTAAAACTCTTGTAAAAAGTATTTGTTAATCATAGGCTTTGAAAACATGAATAGAGAGAAATAGCGATAATCGGTATAATATTTCTCCAAATAACATTTTTGCGTTTGGACTACTTACAAGAGAAAATTTCTGAATAAATATGGAAGTGCGATGTTATATATACATATATATATTCGTAACGAGGAGAAGTGATTATTTTAAAAAAAGTTCGAAACCTTTTGTACTATGAAACTATTTCTAGTAACAATTTTAATAAGCACATTAGCTGTTGGTCTATCAGCTTCAGTAATATCAAGCAGAAGCAGAAGGATACATCATAATGAATTTAATGTATTTAAAAATGATTTGTCATTTATATTTGAGCAAGCGTCGATACAACAAGAAAATGGAAAGTATATAATTGACAAGGAAAAGATTGCGGAAAAGTTTGGCGCCGAGGCTGTTCCGTCTATTATGGCATTCATTAAATTGGTTAATAAAGAAATATTAACAAGCAGTGATTTGGTTAATGTTCCAATTCCTACTCAATTTTTACAACAATCATGGCTGTCGTGTGTGACCGATAGTGTTATAGAGATGACTGGAATAGGATTTCTAACTGGAGGTATGCAAGAACTTATCAAAAAGGAATTATGGGAAGAATTAGCAAAAGAAATAATAAAAGTAGTTGGCAAAAATGCTATTAAAGGAGGTGTGGTTGGATTTGCTGCTTCGATGGCTTGGTACAGTGTTAAGTGTATAGGAGATTAATATATAACGCGTCGAGCACAATAAGTTCGACGAGAAGATTTTTTATAATGTAATAGTACTGCTTTGGCGTATCCGACAGAGATTGTTTTTGCCTAACATTTATCATTGTAGGTGGGTGTATTACATTAAGAATTTTCTGCTGCTATTTCTTTGATTTCTTATGCCTAATTTTTCTTCAAAAGTCTCTGCATAAAGTAAAGTTTCTAAATCACTTGAAATAATTTTTGTTTCAATTCGCGTCGTTGTATCAAATATCAATTAAAAGAGCAACGGGGAGAAGCGAAAATGGGACTATGATCCAAAACGCCATAGTATGGACTATGACGACAGAATGAGGCCATCTTCCTGGAAAGGCAATCACGTGGGAAGGTTCCCTCGTAATACCCAGCATAAATTCCCTATGTGGAGAGCTAGCTCTCTATTATAGTCTTTCTTCGCGAAGAAATAGATGCACGATTCTCATAAATTATGCTCCTCAGTTTCACAAAGAAAGTTTCAGAGTTGAGAGCATGCTCACTATTTTATCTCTCTCGATGAACAAAAACTGTAATAGAGAAAAATCTCTAAGAAATTTTTATTTTTATCAAGGTGTGAATTTTACTATGATCTATATATATATATATACCAAGCATATATGGGGGAGGAAGAGAGCGAGGGTACCTCTAGACAGCTGAGATGCCTTAGATAACCTATGATAAAAAAAATAAGTTCGCAGCGAACTCAAATTGTTGATTACCTCTTTTTTGAAGATTAAAATCTAAAAGATAACTGCAATCTACAGGTTTCATGGAAAGCCTCTTTTCAAGCGATTTACTTCCTCTCGTACACTGAGCATTTCGATGATGGGTGTGACTATCTCTATTTTTTCCTATTTAAAGTTGTTCCAAAAGAAGTGAGAGCCGGCGTATCACAGATGAGTTTAATACTTTTTATTCAAAAAACATACTTAGATATTCTTAGTGTTGAGCTGTATTTTCCGTATCTATTACACAAATACAGCATAGTGCTAGTATTCATTCGAATTAGATAGCTTGAAAATGTCCTCAGCAAAACGCTTGAAAATAGCCTTACATGAAACGTGCAGATTGCGATTATTTTTAGATTTTAATGTCTAAAACTTTGGATTCCCTTTCAACGTAGTTAGTGGATCATAGTATGCTACTCAGTATGTTATTTATCACTCAAATATTGTATAATTTACTAGGTTTATGCTGGTGAATTTGACAGCACCCACATAGAGCCTAAAAACTCGCTTCTTACCGACTCGAGTTTTGTACCGTCAGGAATTCCAGTATTTTATAGAACTATCAACAAAATAATTAAAGATATTACGATGTGAGCCAAATTTAAATAATACAGTCCGTTTAGTTTTACGTGCTGGCCCTCCTACGGAACTTCAGAAACGTTGGAACAATAATCCTCCATCCTACCAATATCGCCTCTCAATCTATGAGTTCTCGTCTTTTACTTTCTTACTATGGTATTTATCTGCTGCCCACTTCAAAACACACGAGACCTGACCACTTATAAGTGACAGTTATTTTAAGCGTCACTTAGGTGCTTTAAGTGACACTTTAACTGTCATGGTTATTTGCCCGTTTCTTGTTTTCCTATCAGTCTTGCTGCTATGGGGCCTTCCATAAATTGCAACTAAAAACTAGTTGCATTCTCTCGTATTTATGGGAGTAAAATAGTTAGAGCAGGCGACTACGTGGTTTTTTGAGTTAAAAAATGATTATTTTCGCATACTATAGTTTTATTCTGCGTCAGATATTAACACAAGTAAAAAAAAGTCGGATTCAAAAAATATTTTTATTCGATAAAACATGCCTTCGGGGACCCTCGGCCTGTATTTTCGTCAAAGAATGTTTTTATATAAAACCAACAAATTATACATCATTCGGTGAAGTTTTTCACGCTGATTCCGAATTTCACATTATTTCCCTAATAAAACGTTTCTTAACCGAGAAAAATGGAAAATACTTCAAAACCGGCGGTTCTTCAGAAAACCTGTATCTAAGTCCAGAAGAAAAACTGCATCCGCCATAGATGCATGACATGCTTTTCCTTGTCAATTATATATTTTCCATCTTCTTGTTGAACAAGATTACAGATTCTCAAAAATTTTCCCTGAGTACTATCACTGTTCTGTAGAAAAATGAATTTACGTTATTGGAATATCGCGCAACATAAAAGAGTCCGTATATTAAAATTGACAGAATAATCTACACTTATTGTGCATCATTCGTCACGTCTTGCGAAGGTTAATTCGAATATGCTCAGCTTACGGGACGGGATCGGGGTCAAGCTTACGAACGGGTTCGGAATCGGGATTTAAGTTGCTGAACGGGATCGGAATTTCCTTTTACCAATTTATTGGAACTGTATTCTTTATCACAAAAATAAAGTAAACAAACAAAATATCAGTTTGCTTGCTTATACATCGTTGTACAACATAAATAAAAACAATATCTCTTTAAAAGCTTACATGACAGTGTGAAAATCAAAAAGAAAATGTATGTTCAACAGCCTAAACACTGATGTACAGAGAGAAAGACAGACGGGGAAAGCCTAATTTTCTTTTCAATTCAATCGTCGTTTATATCATCACTTTCAATTTGAATTTAGATTTTTTTATTGTTACAAATAGCTGTTCATTTCCATCTAGTGGTTTTCGTTTTGACGCAGGTGTATCAACACAGTTGATACTTGACGAGGCAGTTGATTCAACTGTCTCGTTTTTCTTCATTTCCTTCGATGTCCACAAATTCTTTTGGAGAAACATTAGTTTATTAATGTTTAAGTGACTCTGCTATTTTTTTAATAACGTTTCATAGAAAGCAGCTAGGGAGCTCAGATCTTCGGCATTCGAAAGAGGAGACTTGGATGCATGATTCCATAACCAAACATGTTTTGCTTTTACAAAAAAGATTAAAAAAACTAGCGAAAATCAAGTTTTATGAAAACTAGGATTTCCAGGCTTTTTTCACATAATATTAAAATATAACATCAGGACAAAATTTTATTTTTTGAAGGCTTAATCGTCTTTTTACAGCGTTCTCGAGTTTCCTTTTATTGAAGTCATGAGTCTTTTGAGTCTTTTTCTGTCTCCTAGTTGTTGTTCTCCTTTTTGTTGCTAATGTAAGTCCCTGGCACCTTACACTGGTATATACTTAAAGAAAGAGAAAGACTGACACATACACATTCATTTTCTAGCGCGGTTAGATTAAAACATATATACAGAATACACGCACGCGACGTACATACATATAAGAAAGTGGACGACTAGAAAGAAGAAAATGAGAAGGTAAAAGTATAATAGAGCCTTAGCACATGTTTTTTATTCGCATATAGGAATACAAATGTGACATTAGGTAGCCTATGTGAAAGGAAAGAAACGGATGTTTCTTCGTTCTATCATAACAAATGCGTCTGAATGTCCACATATGCAGCGCATTAAAATGTGCTATACGCTAAGGCTCTAATACAAAATTCAAAAGAAAAAAAAAAAGACTTTAGTTATTGTTCTTTTTTTTCTATTTTATTTTATTGTTCGACCAATTTGAGACTGGAATACTGTACCTGAATCGGTGGTCGCATCCATTCTATTAGAAGTTTTGAGATAAGGTTAGGGCAACATCTGCATTTATACAATGAAAAGGAGAACAATAACTAGTAGACAAAAAAAGCATTTAATTCACTTAAAACAGACTGTTTTTATGAATGTGTATGTGCCCATCTTTCTCTTTCTTTACGTATATATCAGTGTACATTAGCAACTTTTTACTTGAAGTAGAATCCGAAAATCGTATTTAAAAGAAATTTTATTTTTTAAAGGTTTTCTCGAGGTGCTCACAAATGAACTCTTAAGGTGGCAGAGTTTGTAGGTGATCATCGCTTTTTCTGCGAAACCAGGTTTGGGCATAATCTACTGTTGGTTGGACGCTTACAAAAGAAGAAAAATAATCTTCTTTATTTGGTGTGTACGAACATTGCTAAAATAAAGTCAATGAATTAACTAAACATAAAAGTGCGTCATCGTATGTTCACCTTGGTTGTATTTCTTACATCAGAATAAAAGAAAGAAGGAAAAAATATAGTGGGAGAATGCAAACGTCACTATTTTTCATTTTTGTGTGGTGAAATCATGCATCATTCCGTTTTTTTATATAAATATAACTCACAGTAATGAAACATAACAAAATAATAATAAAACAATTAAGATAATAAAATGTTCAGGAATGTATTTAAATTGTCAAATATTGCTCATCATAGTAGTAATGAACAAAAGCGTTCTTTCTTAACAATTGTTAATCAAGGTTTTGAAGCATATCGAACAACATTGGGAAAAAATCCTGGTAACTCTTTTGCTACGACAATAAACTAGCATATTTAAGAAGTTGTATACCATTTATTTTAGTTCATCTACAACCGGGTCTATGTGTATCGATACCTGTAATACATAATGTCCAGAAAGTTGACATGCGTGAGGATGGTGTGACAGTTGAAAGAATTGATGCATTTACTAAAGATAATGTTCCCGTTCAATTGTCAGCTGTTTTATTTTATCAAGTTAAAAGTGCTTATAAAGCTTGCTTCGATGTCACTAATTATCGTTCAGCCATTTATTCTGTTGGAACATCATCACTTCGTTCTATTGTCGGACAATTTGAATATGATCAAATTATTGGTGATCGAAATAAACTGAATAAAGAATGGTTATCCGTCGTTGGTAATTCTATTGAACATTGGGGTGTACAAACGACAAAAGCTGAAATACAATCATTTGGACCGTTAGATGCGTCCGTAGCTAAAACATTAGAAAAACAAATGGATGCTGAACGGGATCGTCGACAACAAGAACTGAATACAAGAGCTAAAATAAATATTAGTGAAGGTGAAAAACAATCAATGATCCTTCACAGCGAAGGAAACTTGGTTGCAGCTAAGAATTTAGCTGATGCTAATTTAATCACAGCGCAAAAACAAGCTGAAGGACAAAGATATTTGATTGAACAAGAGACGGAAGCTCTTACACAACAATTAGAAGCAATTAGTAAAAAGTTAAATAATGATCATCATTTGACTGTTCAGTATTTACTAGCCAGACGCAGGTTTGATGAATTACAAGCCATTGCTAATGGAAACAATAATTCAACATATTTTATTAATAATCAAACTGAAGGTGTACACGGTCTGAAATTGTTTTCAGATCTACAGAAACAAGACTCATGAACATGGAATATACAAAAATTCTATTACAGTACTGGAAAAAATTATAGAGCCGGGTTCGAGTCTTTATTCATTTTGTTAATTAACGATCTGAGATAGATTAAAACACATGAGTATATGCATTTAAGTCTGCTCTTTTCAAATATGTTATTGAAAAAAATATAGAAATCTTTGTTTCTCTTACAAAAGATTTTTTACAAAAAGATGCCTGGTTTTTGTTGGAAAAAATTATAGAGCCATCTTTCTTTTTCTTTTATTATTTGAGCCAATATTTGGCTGCTGTTCCTCCTTTCACTCGAATACACGATTGTAGACGTCGTGGCATACTTTCCACTAATTTATTACACGTTTCAGGCTTGATTTCGGACCACAATTTTTTTATGATAGTCTCGAGCTCGTGTGCTATGCTGGGACGGTGATGAGTTAATTTTTTATCGATATAATCCCATAAATTTTCTATTGGATTCAGGTCAAGGGAAGATGCTGGCCATCCCATAAGCTTGTATTTCTTTTTTTGAAATCATTGTTTACTAAATTTGCACCTGTGGCACCGGGCATTATCTTGCATGAAGTACCATTTTTGATCAGGTTTAAATCGTTTTTTGATAAACGATGGCAAACTTAGAATCAACATGTCGATATACTTTTTTCCATTCACTTGCCCCTTGTCTACGACCAATGTACCGATACCTTCAGCCGTCATACACCTCCAGACAGAGACGCAGCTCCCTCCTCCTTGTACACAAGCACGAAAGTTGAACGGTTTATCTTGCTCAGATCGAAGACGACGAACAAATGATCGATTTTTTCGATTCAATACCTCAAAATGAGATTCATCAAAGAATACCACACATTTCCAATCATTATCGGACCAGTATTGATGTTCACGAGCAAATTTTAAACGTACGTGACGGTAACGTGCTTTTCGAAACGGCTTTCGTTTCGTAACGTAGCTCCTGTAACCCGCCTCAACCAACCGATTCCGTACCGTACGCGGTGTAACGACCGGCACATTCGGCAAAACCCACTCAGAAGCCAATTTCCGACTAGTTTTATAACGGCCTTCTTTACATAAAGTGAATAATCGACGGTCTTCTCTTTTGGTTGTAGCACGGTCACTACCTTGATCCGGACGGTTAACTACTCCAATCTTCTGTTTTTGCTTCTTAGAAACATTTTGAACACATTGTCTCGACACACCAAACTTGGTGTGTCGAGATATGTTTAGCAACATATCTTCGGGAAAATCCAGCACGTAATAGTGCGCAAACATTGTTTTTTTGTGTTAAAGTAACTCTTTTACGACCCATTTTACATACGTGTAGGTGGAGAAAAGAAGGAATGTCGAACGCTGTTCTAAGTTCATTTCATTCATCATATGGGAAGAAAACATGCACATGTAGACGAAAGAAAGCAATCATATGCTTCTGAGACATAAAATCACGTGGAAACGAAAAAATTGGGCTAAATAGGCTAATGTGGCTCTATAATTTTTTCCAACAAAAAACAGGCATTTTTGTGTAAAAAATGTTTTGTAAGAGAAACAAAGATTTCTATATTTTTTTCAATAACATATTTGAAAAGAGCAGACTTAAATGCATATACTCATGTGTTTTAATCTATCTCAGATCGTTAATTAACAAAATGAATAAAAGCTACAGAATAGGCTCGAACCCGGCTGTATAATTTTTTCCAGTACTCTTTATATAGCGTTACAAAATCTACTCAAAGTCACTGGAATTTATCGTTATTCCCTTCCACCAACACACCTGTCCAGGCTCAGAACGAAATTAAAGTACATATACTGTTCTCTATTGTAGGTAATTGTTTAACTGGTTAATGGAACATTTTACTATTTCTATCTCGGTATGTACCAGTTATGGACCAGGTATTTCGAACTGGTTTTTGAGACATCAAAGAAAATTGTTATAACGCATTTAGTAAGAATTGCTCAGGCTTGTGAAACGTTTCATTTTGTAGACAAATGTTTGTTCTATGTATTTGTATGGAACATAGAATTATAAGTTGAAAGAGAGAGGCGCGTTTTTAACGGATTACTGAAGAGGCACGAACAGTTACATAACTGGTGACCAGTTACCACGAACAGTTATGACATTTAAGAATGCTCACATTTTTGTCACAATTAACTTTAAACCCTTTTCGTTTCAACAGATATGTAAAACATACATCTGTCTACGAAATGAGACCTTCCGCAGGTTTGAGCGATTGTTAATAAACCCGTTATAACAATTTTCCTGTATGTCCTAACATCAGTTACATAACTGGGGCGTGCCTATTTCTATCAACAGTAAAAAGTTAACAATGAATTATCAATTTTGGATTATTCACTGCTTTATATTTATTTTAATGAAATTGTACTTGTCCCTCGATGATCAAAATGTTAAGGGAAAGTCCTTTTATCCAGCTGGATGTACAGAGTATTAGATGGTCAAATTCGGGATAATCCTCGGCAAGGTAGAGAAAAGTCATTTTTTTCTGCGAATGGTGTAAATGATTGACATTGTAACACCCCAAAAAGTTGAGTTCGCTTTTCATTATTCAATGATACACTTTCAGTTTGCTTTTGATATTTTTCCAATGATGTTTCGATATCCTGTAGTAGATAAGTAATATAAATAATTTTAATATTTTAATATGCTTTCATAATAAAGGTTTCATGGGTTGGTTGCATTTTATGGCAAATATGAAGTATGCAATTATATGTGTTGATCGCTGCTGGATATTCTGTTTGATTTAAATATACACCAGAAGACTAAGTTATTTAGTTATATTTGCTAACTGCTTCTGTGCTTGTTTTTCCATTTATAATATGGAATACAAGTTACTGTTCGGAGCTGGGCTAGTGAAGCCAATTTAACATATGGTAATATTTGACCATGTAATGTGTGGATAATTTCTTATGAGGGAACCGCCTGAGGTGCTAAAAATCTTTTTGAGTGGGACTATTTTTAAAATGTAGATCCTCATGGACTGTGAAGAATCCCAACTTGGTTCGTGTGCAATCAGCGTTGTTGCTGAGATATCGAATTTCTACTCGAATTTTCCCCATAGGACCTGGATTTCAAGCAAAATTGGAGTTTTGATAGTTTGAAATTATATCCCGATCAGGACATAATTCGATATCCCGATT